GGGGGGGGGGGGGGGGGGGTGTGGGGTTGGGTGGGGGTGGGGGGGTGGGTGTGGGTGTGGGTGTGGTGTGGGTGTGGGGGGGAACCTTCTTCTAACGGTTACCCACACACACACACACAACCACCAACACTCACACCCCAAATAGTGAAAACGAAATAGTCATCAAATAGGTAGGGTGTGGGTGGGTAACCGTTAAAAGAAGATTCCCACCCACACCCACACCGATACCCTAAAACTAATAAAGGAGCATTCATATATCCATTTGATTTCCTTCGATGATACGTATGTCAATAAAAGAAGAAATGTTAATTCAAGAAAATGGAAAGTGCTACTTGTTATTTGTACTAATGTAAAACGTTCAGAAAAGTCAATATGATGACGATTAAGTACATGATTTAATTGTAAATAAGCAATAATATAACGAAGAATACTATCTAAAGCAAAACAAAAACGCCATATAAAACGTTGAGGTTCATATTCACCGATCGATGCTGATATTGATGGAAGCAAATTAGTAACATTACAATGTGTTCGTGTTGATTCTTCAAAATCTTTCATTAATGATAAACTAACACAAGAAAATAGAGGAAAACATGGTAATATATAAGCAAACCATAGAAACTGGCGCATATGTATATGAATACCTATAAAACAAAGCTTGAATGAAATAAATCTTTTTAAAAGCAGGAAATTAAATTACGTGACAACATTCTTGGACAAGTCGTGTTCACTTGAATGGAATAGGATCAACATCAGAATCTGAGACGATTTATATCACATATTTTTAACAATTCATACGAAAAAAAAGTCTATGACATTGTTCTATAATTATATGAGCCAGTCCATATAAGTCACGATGGGCCACACAGTACCTTGCTCAGTCGAGATCGTCTGATTTTGCTCAATTTAAGATATGTTGTAGAGGAAAGATTTTTATGAATTTTGACGCAAACCGTTTTGAAAAATATTGAAGTCTGGATTTTTTATGAACATTTTACGGTAAGTTCTAAAAATGATCAGATCCATGAACGAAGGTTCTAATGCCATCATATCTCAAGAACGGCTGAGCCAATTGAGCTAAAGTTTTCTACAGACATATATCTCAGTGATTCCTATTTATCATAATTTTTTACTTTAAAATATTGAGCCGTTGAAATTTTTTGAACCATCCAATATATGGGAAAAAAGTACATTTTTGGTGGCTTTGGTACTTCATAACTTTTGATTGAGATGATGTGGTGGTTTGAAATTTTTACTGTCGATAGAACATTGATGGATATATATTCCCTGAAAATTTCACCTATCTATATTGTTCCATTTGGTCAGGACAGTCCTCTCAAAAATGGGGGTTTTCAGGATAGGCTATCTCCTAAGATATGGATTTTTTTGAGAGCTGAACTGTAGAAATTGAAAGTACTTTGTGTGAGCTATAATCCTACAAAAAATTAGAGTGGATCTCCAGAAATGGTCCTGGGGGAGTAATGGAAAAATACCGAAAAATTAGCCTTTTTCTACAGAAAAAGTACCAAGTTCACTTAGAAATGACTGCAGAAGTGTCATCACATGAGATAAATTCTACCCAGTAAAAATCAGCATTTGATCGTCTATAACCCTCTATAAAAGTATCCTTTAAAAATGAAAAAAAAAAACTTTTTTTCGAAAAATCCCCGTACCCTCTCCCAGGCCTCTTTATCAAGAATCTGTGTCTATAGAAAGATCTCTGTCCCCCTCCCACGGGGACTTTTTCGAAAAATAATTTTGTTTCATTTTTAAAGAATATTTTTATGCAGGGTTATAGAGGATCGAATGTTGACTTTTACTAAGTCGAATTTATCTCATATGATGAAACTCTTGCAGCAATTTCTAAGCGAACTTGGTACTTTTTCTATAGAAAAAGGCTAATCCAAAAATCGTCATTTTCGTCAAAATCATGCTTTTGTGGAAGGTCTTCTGAACAATAGGAACCATGTAAAGAGCTAAGTTTTTTATTGGACTAAGTGATCAATGAGGTCTCGCTATAGCTGATATTTCAACTCTCTAAAATGATCGATTCACTAAATTTCAAAATGCAGAAAATGGCGAAAATGAACATTTTTCGTGTACTTGGTAGCATTGGTCAACTTATCACTAGTTCACCCATATGAGCTCATTTTTTGTTCGACATTACAGAATCATGATATCTATTCACATTAAAAATTTCAAGTCAAATGCATGTATCCTTGATGAGGTATAGATGCCACAAAAAAATCACAAAAATGTGCATTTTTGGCGATACTGTTCTCAGAAAAATTTGAATTTCTCGACAACGAAACAATATTTTTTCGATCAACCTGCGTCAAAAATCTTAAAACTCTTGCCTCTACAACATATGTTAAATTGAGCGAAACCGAACGACTTCGATTGAGCAAGTTCAGTCGTGGCTTACATGAACAGGCTCATATAACTGAAAGAGAATTGAAAATATGCGTGTACTACCGATCCGATCAACAACTTTTTCTTAGACATAGAAAATCATCGAATAGAAGTTGTAGAGACAGGTCTGCCATCAATGGGCAAATGATAGTCACGGCTTCTTTTCCATCTTCAACTTAGAAGATTCGCATACGGCGCTGCCATTTCATCGGGGAGTGTCATTTGTCCGGAAGGCATAAGATCGAAGAGTAAAATCTCGAAAGTTCGAAAAACGACAGATATCATTGAATGACTAATCAGTCATCTTAGATTCGTATGTGTACCAGTTAAATAAATCAATATCATCCTAACATTGGCACTTTATTTCTGATATTAAAATGGAGAAGGTGGTGTTTCGACAACAATTGATTCATGTTCAAAATGGTGTGTCAAGGAAAATAAGAAAAAAACTGTTATGGAACATCGACTTCAAAATTTATCGTCAAGATTTGAAAATGCGAAATTTGATTTGGAATAATATTTTCAAAGATCTATCATTACTTTTGGCAAATGGCATGAAATCTAAAACATGAGTGTCTACTCAATACTGCTTTTTTTCTCTTGTGAGTCTATTTCTTTTAACTTTTCTTTTATGCTATTTTTTTCTCTCCAGCTAAAGCGGTAAAGCATCACATCACAGTCAATTTTGTATATCTATCCTCTTTTATTTCTACGATGTTATCATTATTCAACACACTTATGATGAATAAACCATGCATCTATCAAGTACTCGAATTAATTTTACATTTTAAACTTTCGAGATTTCTGTTTCTAGATTCTCGCTTTTCCATGGAAATAAACTTTATTTTTGAGCAATATTTGCTCTTAAAACGAAGTTGAACGATTCTAGATTTCATAGATTCGAAAGAAGTTAATACCGCGTGTCTCAAAAGTCACCTGCCAAAAGCAAATTAGTATATCTTCATGCCAGTTAGACCAAATGATCTCATTCTTTTACTGATAAGAGAGAACAATTCTAAGTTCATATTCATACATCAATGACTTCTAAACACGCTTGAAATCTAACATCATCTACTCCAGTATAGAATTTGATCTTTTTTCCATCGGTAGTTAGCCACAAAAAATACAAATGATTTCGAAAATTTGTTGACATATCATATTTTGTAGAGCTTTTCCCATTAATTATTTTGATAGAAAAAATTCTGTTTTCATCAAAAAATGATGGTACTTGGGTTAAAATAGTGGACAAGATCAACCTGCTCTGGAGCTCTGGATTGCCGAAACAGTACAACACGTTCCACTATTTTGATCCTAGCATCGTCATTTGCTGAAGAAAATGCAAAGCCTTTTTAAAGCAAAATAAAGAGCCAAAATCGCCCTACAAAATACGGTATGTCAACAAGTTTTCGTAGTCCTTCGTATTTTTTCATTGTCTGGTTCAAGAAGTACTCTTTTAAAAGTTAGCTGTAGTCGCCAAGATTTTCTGAGAATTAGCTGTGTGTGTAAATCCACGAGAACCCTATGAAGTCCCCAATAAAACAGATAAGCTAGCGAAAACTGGAAGATTGCAAATAAATTATATCAAAATGGAGAAAATCTAAAGACATGACGAATATAAATTATATGATAAAAGCTCAAAATCCATCATTTATCTGTAGTAAAAAGGGTAAACTTTTCTCTTTTAAGTAGACAATAATAATTTTGAGTTAGGTTATTAAACTTTTTGCTAATGAATAGAAACATAGAACCTTCCTCTATCATCATGAAAAAAATGAGGTCATTTCGTCAAACTAGAATGAAGATATATAATTTTGTTTTTGGTACGTGACTTTCCAGACACCTGGTACCTATCGATATTGGACGTCAATCGATTAGGTGGCTTGATAATTGCAAATTCGACTGAACTCATCATTATTATGTACAGATATATACGAATATTTGTTGTCAAAAAAAAAAGGATTACGGTTAGGAATTCAGTCAGTAAACAAGTATACAGTGAAAAAAGGGTACTCAGTAAAATGAATTCGCTATCTTTGTTATTTATTTTGTATTAATATTCGATATTATGAGCTAGAAAAATCTAACGAAGGTAAAAATGTCTACATTTGAATGAAAATGACAGCAAATGAAATACAACTTTCCACTTTTCCTATCTCTCTTCTCCACAATTTTCTGCTTTTCAGGAACTAACTTCTGTTATTCTGATGCGGTGCGATGGCAACCCTGCTCGCAATGATCCAAATTTGTAGTACATGCGATAGATAATTATCGTCATTCAAGTAAAGAATTTACTTAACGCCTCGAAATATTATGCCCACTGCTTCTTTTATTTTATAATTGTTTTTTGCAAAATAAAACACTTGATGTCGGATAATTTTAAAAATCAATGATACGATTATCGAATAATCTGAAAAGATTTTTGACTCTGCAGATTTACGAAAAAGCATACGTTATCATCAGCGACAGTATTCCATTGGATGTTATTTCAACCGTGGTGACTCATCGAACCTGTAGATCATTCATTCTTCAAATATGTACATTAAATTAAAGAAATATTTCAACGTAAGAGGTCACTTTCAAGTAGGTTGCATGAATAGAAACAAGAATATGACAATATTAAATAAAAGAGAAGAACATAATGTTCTTTTTCTAATCTACTTAGCTCACTTAAAGATCGACTTAATCGATGAATACAATGACCAAGAATAGCTCAATCATTAACCCTCTGGTAGCCTCGGAGTACGGACGTTTGTTCCGGTCAGCCGGTAGCGACCACATTCGGCATCTACCTTCAGCCGTCTATCCATTTTTCTGCTCTCAGAAATGTAACCATCGACCTAATATAGAGAGTGATTACATTCAAAAGAGCAAAGGTGACTGAAGAAGGACATGCGATCAACGCAAAAGGAGTATTAGTGATAACGAGCTAACAAGACGTGAAAAAGAAAAAAGATCGACGAAGATTGCAAAGCCATAAACAAGAGTGCAAGACCATAAAAGAATGACTGAGGCTCGTGTATGTTTAAGAAAAAGACGATCAACAAGAAAAGAATGACAAGAAGAGTGGAGAGAAGACCGCGTGACACAATAAGATGCTCATAAACAGGATAACGAGAAAGATAAGAACGGCAAAAGTCAAGGAAGAATGTCAATAATCTAAAGCAAATAGAGACAACGATATAACTAAAAGTTAGTTCTCACATCTACATGCAGCATTA